CCACGGGACAGTGCCTATCTAAGAATTACATTGCACGAACATACGTGTTCGTGTGAACGAATTCAAACCAATGGGCATCACGCATCACGCTTCATTCAAACATGCAAGCAAACTGAACGTTAGCATGATCGGCTATGATGGGCCCTGCGTGCTAAGATTTCGTCGCCGACTTTTTATGAGAATGGATTCACTTATTGTCTTTTCTGGGTAGTCCTGTGCTCTGCAGACAACTACAGAGGACATCCATATATATATATATATATATATATATATATATATATATATATATATATATATGTACGCGTTTTGCGAATCAATGGGCATGTGGTTAAGTCATGCATCAAATTTCGCGACAGGTAGTGGCCCAGAATCGACCAAGACAAAGGGCCATTGTAGGTTAAGTCGATCAGATTTGTTATCGAAAATCAGTTTTAGCGCGTGTCCCGTTCATTAACGACAGCCTCATGGTAGAGCAATGCGAATACACCTTCAAAAATAACTATATCTCAAAAACACTGCCACGCCAAATGCTCACATGCATTATATATGTTTTCGTGATTGACGGCGACAAGTTAGTTAGATGCCTCTTGCTGTGAAAATGACAGCATATCGCGCAATTTTGTTTCTTGTAAAAATCGTCCAGCCTCCGGAACATCCGGCCGAATTACGACCGGGGTATATAACGGGAGAGCTTTGGCACCCATAGATCAGGGTGCAAAAGTGTGGATTCATGTAATGTTGCGCTCAGGAAATCTGTGGTTGATAGTAATATTCCCTCTGCATGTGCGTTGTTCGTATGTCTAAGTACCTCTGCTTGCTGTCTGTCTTAACCATCGCCCTGATTCCCCGTTTTGCGTAACCTGGACTGAGATGGGGAGACGGGGTTCACCGACAGCCTCCAGCGCACGTCCCTGAATCCCTGTAGATCCAACGCCGTTTGGGATTACTATTCAAGGCTATCTGACGCTATTCGCTGCTAACTGCTACTCCGTCGGCGCCATTTATGTAGCCTCCCGCGTTTTTTGGAGACGCGTGAAGAGCCGTGATAGCGCGATTGGTTGGTAGTATAGAGAAAGGCAGTATATAACTTTAGGTCAGTGTCATACACAAACTATCGTATCAGGCTCAACGCCGGTGAATACATGTAACGATGTTTACTTTGTATGGCTGGCTTGCTCTATTAGGTGGATAAAATTCTTCCGCCCCTGCTGCATTGGCGTCCGAGCCCGGTCACGCAACAGCCTGACGTCCCAGATGGTCTAATTTTGTACATAACTTTGTAGAGTGATGTGTGTGTGTGTGTGTGTGTGTGTGTGTGTGTGTGTGTGTGCGTGCGCGTCATTGGGGCTTTACCACGCACTCAGCTGCTAATGCTATATGACGTCGCCTGCCTCTCACCCTGGGAAGGCAAGGCAGGAACCACGGGAATCGAACCCCACACCTCTGGTTTCCCAGATGTGTAGTGGCATACACTTGCTACTACCGGGATCCCTTGTGGGGTGATTGAGCAGTCTGTTATCCCAAATGAATGGTGCAAACCGCATTCTGCTTGGTTTTGACTAAGTTGTCCCAAAGTTTGGGAAGGGCTGGCATTCCATCCAACTAAATAGGAAGCTTCACCCCTGGTTCCAAATTGAGTATATTTAGATCAGTAAAAGCTGGGGCGGGTATCACATTGTGCTAGAATCTTTCCCTTAATTGAGAAAGATTGTTCCCTGGCTAGAATGCTGCTGCACCAACTGATATGATCTGAATGCTACTATTTATGTTGGTTGCATGATATTTTGATAATAAACCTGTCATGATGTGCCCTGGAGAATGGTGGTGCAACAAGTGCACATCATTTTAAGCATTTGTTTCAGTCAGCCTTGATTAGGGCTCACACCTTTACAATATAATGATTAATATCAAAACTTCCTATGCCCTCCATGGCTTCAAATAATAGAATAGGTATGAGCATAGACTTAGGAAGGAGGCACTTAGAAAGCCAAAAAATTAAAACATTGCAAGCAGCCAATGTCTAGTGCTCTTTGGCAATCACTGAGGCCAACTAGAGCATGGTGTTTTCTGTCATCTGCTGCCAAAGGATGTTCTTTGCAGTGACTATTTTGTCACTGTCAGTCACTTTGTCAGTGACTATTCTACCAGCTGTGAATGCAGTGCAAATTCACCTGGGTTATTTTGTTCTCACTACAAGCTGTGATTTAATATTTTTGTTCTCTCCCCCAAGGAGCAAAACCAAATTTCTCATACTGCTGGCATCCCATCCAAGTAAATAGGAAACTACAGCCCTGGTCACGGCTGAAGTATATCTAGGGCAGTACAAGCCTAGGTGGGTATCACATTGCCCCAGAATCTTTCCCTTAAGTGAGATGTCCCAGAATCTTTCCCTTAAGTGGGAAAGATTGTGCCTTGGCTAGAATGTAGCTATGCTAATGACTGTGACCCAGATGCTCCTATTGATGTTATTGTGACGTGACATTTTGATCATGAGTTTGTCATGGTGTGCTCTGGGGCATTGTTCAGCAGGTGCTTAACATTTTAAGCATTGGTTTCTATCAGCCTTAATTAGGGCTCACACCTTTGCAGTATAATTGTAATTATCAACAACTTCCTATCAGCACCATGACTTTTGCAATATGTTGCTTGCACCCCCCAAATGTTGTGAAATACAACAAACCAACAGAAATCCATCAGCACTGTTACTTGTCCTGTTACGTTGGTTGTTTGCATTGTTTGCCTGGAAACACGTGTGATGTGAAAAACATGCCTGCGGGAACACAGTTGCAGAACCTGTGCCACAATATCTGATATTTACAATTGAAATTGGATTTAGGGTATAAACAACATAATTTTCTGGAACAACATCCATCAAATAACTTATCATCCGGTTTTCAAAAGAGTTGTGTGATTGCTACCTATTGTTCTTGGTGCCTGAAAGTAAGGGATGTCTACTTGGAAGAGTACTGTTGTCATTCTGTATGGTAGTGCCTCCTTCTGTCTAGACTGTTGTGTATGGGTTATGGAGCTGTGGTATATGCAATTTCCATGAGTATGAGCTTCTTGTTCTTTTGACTTGTTCACTGGTGATTTTTCATTCATGTCTCAGGTCATGTTTCAGCTCTGAAATCAGCATGGGCAAGACATGTTTAGCTCTACATGGGTTTCTGATCCTAAATGCTCCATTCCTGCTGTAAGTCCTAGTAAAAAAAACTTCTAAAATTGGTATGGTGTGTGCTCTATCAAAACTGTTATGCCCATGTTGTTGATACTGTTCTGTAAATGTTGTCAGCATTTGCAGCATGTGATGCTTTAGTACTGGCTTGTTGTTAGATAATATATTCTTGCTTTTCTCTAATGTCTCTAAATTTTCTCTAATATTCTTGCTTTTCTCATATAATTGCAGGACCAGTTTGAAGGTGCTACTAGCCTGTTAACACATTGTCATTGATTGTGATTAGGTGTGTGTTGTATTTTCTGGCATGCATTATGACTTCAAACACATACTCATACTGTCATTGATCAATTTGGTTTTTGATGCATGTTCATCAAGTGCCTACTGCTATTGATGAGGTAATAAGTATTTGTTCTTGATGGCAGTGGATGTGGTAAGAATCTTCCCATGTTCAGGCTGCTTTGGTCATTCATGGTCTAGCAGACTAGGAGTTCATGCCTAAGGCAGCTATGGTGAAAAAGGGGATGGTAGCTGGAAGGTATAGAGTCTGTCTTGGTACAGAAGAGGATAGAATGCCTCACCTAGATCAGCTGGCATGGTACTGCACTCCCCTCCCTTAAAGGTAATTTGCCTTATTGAGGGGTCCTTGGGCAGCTTTTTCATACTCCATGAGATGTTGCACCAGCATGTTTAACAGCATGAGTAGAGCATGAGTCTGTTTTGATTAAATAAGGAAAACCCCTGGGAAACCTGGGAAAAATCCACACTTTAGGTATCTCCCTGGGTGTGCGGAGAATGTCATCATACACACTGTTATTGAAGGCCAGCAAGTGTGATGACCCATATCACCATCAGAGACCATAGTGCCAGCTGGACATTGAACCTGAGCCCACCAGGCAGTGGCCTGTACCATTAGTCATTGTAATAGATGGCCACCTGTAGGTAGGCACTCACACAATCAGTACGCCTGAACTAGGTGTTTAACATCCCCCTGGTAGAGGTCAAGGAGGGCTTTAAAGGCAAACTTTGTGGAAAGGATATGCCATCTGTTCATGTGAAAGGGTTTGTTAGTTTTCCGGAGAACCATCGACTTGCTTCGAAAACAGACGTTGAAAAGGAAGAGTCTACTAGCCAAAGAGTTGCAACATAAGGGTAAGAGAGGCGTTGGAAGGGCGGCGTCGCACACTCCGAAGTCGTCGTCGTCGTTGTCGTAAACGCTGACGTGGCTCGCGTCGAGCCGCGCCGTCAGAGCCTGAACATGGACTGATAGGCAGAGACCGTGCGTCCCTGCCCGCGTGTTCCATAAACCCACGTGGCCCACATATGGGCTCCAGATGATGAGGACCAATCGGCAGGGGGGCCGCCCACACCATCGCGGGGATGCCGCCGCCGCGCCGGCAGCGACGGCCCGTTTGCTCGCCAACGCCATCCATGTATATGAATGATAATAAAACACCTGTTGATGGAAACTCAACATTTGAGAATTCAGAGTCATTGGTCAAATCAATCAAAAACCACCCCAAAACGCAACTGAAGAGACAAGCCCGCTTTTATCCGTCACTTGAGAAAAGTCAGTTGACCTACGCCATGCTGGATGCCCATGGGCTTGGAAGCATTCCGAGGTGAGCTGCCAGGGTTGTCAGTTAACGCTTCTGCATTAACCACTGCGTGTCTGGGAAACCAGAGGCACGGGGTTCGATTCTCCGCGGTGCCCGCGCTTCCTGCCGGGGTGAGAAGCAGGCGACGCCATATAGCCTCAGCAGCTGAGTACGTCGTAAGCCCCCAACGACTAACGAGGTGCACTGTCACTGCTTCCTGTCATCAGGTGCCAGGCGTACGTCACAGTGGCCGCAGCTGAACAGCCAGTGGGCAATATCACCTGGGACTTTCTTATCTTCACTCAGCAGTGGCCTCAGACAACGTGCATCGCGTACAAGGGCGAGAACAGTCAGCATGCCTGCGAAATATTCAGCAATGTCACCTCCTGGACAGTGCACGGCATCTGGTAAGTCTGCAGATAGAGCTGGCATGTGTATAGTGTGGTGAACCATTCTTTGGACTTGTGTAGTGGCGGTGTGTTTTCATTGAATCTCACAAGATAAGCACGCAAACAAGAATGGTGCAAATACTTCAGCAAAATAAGTGTATGATCGCTTTGAAGCTGGTCATCTGCATTGCGCATTCATAAGCTACATTTGCTAAATTTGTGTTCATTATTAACCTAGTTTTAGGTCCTCTGGCTTTTGAAAAAAGTGATCAGATAACTCAAGTTTCAAAAAGCTACTATGTTGAGCAGTGAAACCATGCTGTTAATACTGAAAGGAGCAAGATGAACTTCGCGAACTTCCTCAATGAACATTATAAATGATTGTTCAGGGGGCCCTTGCATGCTATAGCTGATGAGCGCGATTTACTGATGGTGGTGAAGCCTCCCCAAACTATCGCATCCTTGGCAAATTACAGAGGTAGGGTTTTGTCAGTTCTATTACCAAGTGCTCTAGGAGCCTTTCCAAATGGGCCATGCAAATGGAAGGGGTCATATTATTATTTGTTGGCTAGCATGCCTGGGTTATAAGTGATGGGAATGGGCGGGTCAGGTCGAGATCCGACACGGGAGATGTGGTTATAGCAGTGTGAGGAATGCCCTGTCTCACCAGGCCGACCAAGGCAGGCACGAAGGGCCCACACAACTGTCAGAAGCTGCCGTTTGACATCACCAAGCTGACATTGCTGGAGCCGCGCCTGCTGGAGTTCTGGCCCAACGTGTTCGCCGGGAAGTCCGTCTACTCCCTCTGGAAGGTAGTGCTCACGCAGGGCACAGCTCTGTACGGGCGACGTCTGCGTGGACGATGGATTTTAGGACTTTGGAATGGTGGTGCGCTTCCTTCGAGTTAAAATGGGACTGGTCCATGTTTTCTCGTTCAAATATTGTTGCGCGCGTGCTTGACTGCCGCCCATGCGTCGAGATGATTCATGGGGACTGTATGGCCATTCATGCCGATGCCTCGACTGCGTAATGGGTACTGGTTGGATTCTTCTTCTGTATCTCCATTGTGCCGTACTGGTAATAAGTGCTGTCCATGTCCCCACCCAGCAGCTCTTGATGATACGACTGAAGCGCTTTGCTTTAATCGCGCATCGTATCTCATCGGCGAGGCTTATTTTGCTCTTCAATCCGCCACTTCACGGACAGCGATGGCCAGCGATTCCTGCTGCCAGTTCACTTGAAGCTGTCACAATCAGCGTGTCTTAGACGTACTTTGCCGGCCGCGTGTAGCACTCCCAGTCATCTGGCCTCTCCAGGCCGCTCCCCTGCACGTGGCCCCACCTGTGTGTCCGCGCCGCAGCACGAGTGGACCAAGCACGGCACCTGCGCCGCCGAGCTGCCGTCGATCGGTGACGAGCGCGACTACTTCGCGCTCGGCCTGGCCTGGGTGGGCCGCTACCAGATGCTGCCGCTGCTTGCGGCCGGCGGCGTGCGGCCCGGCGCCGCCGCCTACAGCTGGAGCCAGGTCCGCGACGCGCTCCGGGCTCGCTTCAGCCACCACATGGTGGTCGACTGCGAGTTAGACACGGTAGGTGCGCGCCTCGGCGCCGCTGGGGCGAGGTCGCCTGCCGCCACCTGGGCGCGCCGACTGTGGACTGAGCGCTCCATTGTCCCTTGACCAACGGGTGTTGGATAAGATGGCGCCACCGGCGCGCGCTCGTTTTCGGGTGGTCATGTTTGGATGATTGTCTGTATGGCGAACTGATCAGTTTTCTAACGTGTCTAGTAAGATCGACCACAGCTTTCTGATATGCTATCTCAAGCAATGCGTGATATGCCAGCTCAACTGGCTATGCTTTTGATACAATATGATGATCAATGTGCCACATTGCCAATTGCTCTTCAGCTATGAACGTACGAGCACCGGCCAACACCGGTCATGCAGGGACATGCGGAGCACCGGCCAGCATCGGTCATGCAGGGACACGCTGAACACCGGCCAGCACCGGCCATGCAGAGACACGCCGAGCACCGGCCAACACCGGTCATGCAGGGACACGCTGAGCACCGGCCAACACCGGCCATGCAGGGACACGCCGAGCACTGGCCAACACCGGTCATGCAGGGACACGCTGAGCACCGGCCAACACCGGCCATGCAGGGACATGCGGAGCACCGGCCAGCACCGGTCATGCAGGGACACGCTGAGCACCGGCCAGCACCGGCCATGCAGGGACACGCCGAGCATCGGCCAGCACCGGTCATGCAGGGACACGCCGAGCACCGGTCAACACCGGTCATGGAGGGACACGCCGAGCACCGGCCAACACCGGTCATGCAGGGACACGCCGAGCACCGGCCAACACCGGTCATGCAGGGACACGCCGAGCGCCGGCCAACACCGGTCATGCAGGGACACGCCGAGCACCGGCCAACACCGGTCGTGCAGGGACACGCCGAGCACCGGCCAACACCGGTCATGCAGGGACACGCCGAGCACCGGCCAACGCCGGTTATGCAGGGACATGCCGAGCGCCGGCCAACACCGGTCATGCAGGGACACGCCGAGCACCGGCCAACACCGGTCGTGCAGGGACACGCCGAGCACCGGCCAAGACCGGTCATGCAGGGATACGCCTAGCATCGGCCAAGACCGGTCATGCAGGGACACACCGAGCACCGGCCAACACCGGTCATGCAGGGACACGCCGAGCACCGGCCAACACCGGTCATGCAGGAACACGCCGAGCACCGGCCAACACCGGTCATGCAGGGACACGCTGAGCACCGGCCAACACCGGTCATACAGGAACACGCCGAGCACCGGCCAACACCGGTCATGCAGGGACACGCTGAGCACCGGCCAACACCGGTCATGCAGGGACATGCGGAGCACCGGCCAACACCGGTCATGCAGGGACACGCCGAGCACCGGCCAACACCGGTCATGCAGGGACATGCGGAGCACCGGCCAACACCGGTCATGCAGGGACACGCCGAGCACCGGCCAACACCGGTCATGCAGGGACATGCGGAGCACCGGCCAACACCGGTCATCTGCCCGCAGGAGACGAAGCGCTGGTACTTGTCTCAGATCAAGATCTGCCTGGACAAGTCGTTTGAGCTGATGGACTGCCACAACCACGTGGATGTCATCACCACCAACTGCCCGGCCGAGGGCATACTGTACCCGCCCATCGTGCCGACCCCGGCGCCGGCGGCCAGGAGCGAGCTGTGAGTGCCACTGTCGGCCGGCGCACCGTGCCGCCGTCGCGGCGCCGGCCGGCCGCAGGGCACCGCCGGGCTCGCGGCCGTTCCAGCTGGGACAGCTCTCAAGCGTCGACACGCCGCCAGACGACGGCCGCCTGTCTGGTCGTGTTGGCGGGGTGGAGGCTCAGGCATGCCCAAGAACAGTTCTAGTCTGGCGTGAGACGGGACACTGGCACTAACCAGCTAACCAGAGGAGTCGGCGCAGCGCTACTAACCGTAGCTGCGCACTGCTGCTCCACACTGGCCGGCATTAGTTCAGCGGTTCTAACCAGCGCTTCAGAATGGCAGATTTGTCAGGCTTTGTACCGCTTCCGGACGACAAGACTGGTGCGTTGTGGAACTTCCTAGCACTTCCCACCTAGAATGGAGGACAATAGTAATAAGTGTGGGCTTCTGACTGCTGGTATGTGGTGCTCACGTTGTTAACGCAATCTTGTCAGTTGAATTGCAAAGCACTTTTATTTTAGTGCCGTGTTCTGGGCTTCTTGTAATCACGGTATCGTGCCTTGTTGTCCTTATTTTCTGTATTTTTATTTTGCTTGCGCTGGCGTGGCCTCGAATGATCGGCTAGCAGGGACCATGTTGGTTCACGCTGTGTTCTGTGTACTGCCAGCGGTGTGCGCGCACATCATATGATTTGGCATACGTGGAGCGGAGCTGGTCTGCACCCTTTTCACCGGAGGCGGCCCAGTACCAGCTGTCAACGGTCGCCGCGTCACGCACTGACGCCGTGTTTTCAGCGTCAACATAGTGGAGGTGCAGTTGCTGGCTGATGAGCCGCCGCAGGACCTTTACCGTTCGTGGTACGGGCTTCGCGTGTGAGATCGGGCGGCCCGACGGCGGCCGTGGTGCGGCTCATCACGGGCCGGGGCTCGACTCTCCTGTCCTGAGCGAGGGCTCGACTCCGGGCTCTGGCTCCGGGCTCCGTTACCGGCCGGGGCTCCACTGCGGGCTCCGTCACGGGCCAGGGCTCAACTGCAAGCTCCGTTACGGGCCGGGGCTCGACTGCAACCTCATTCAAGGGCCAGGGCTCGACTGCGGGCTCCGTCTCGACCCGGCACCCCTCGCCCAGCGTCCGTCTCAAGCCGGCACCCCTCGCTCAGCTCCCGTTCCGGGCCGGAGTTCCGCTCTACCCGCGTTCAGTCAGAGCCTCCTGAGCCGGCGGCGTGCTGTTGTGCCGTCGTTTCGCCCCTCTTCGACGCTGGCTCCTCCCCTGGCGCAGCGGTGACCGGGCGTCTCGCCGAGCGCGCCGCGCTGGTGGTACCACCGCGGTGCGTCCAGCGCCACTTGCGCGGCTCCGGTCGGCTGCGGTCGCTCGCGCTGCCCCTTGCTCGCTGTGTCCCCCATGGATGCGTTATTTGTGCACTGTTTGTATGCACTGCCTGTGGCATAGTACTTGCAGGCCCACTTCGCGGAGAGCTGCTGTGTGTTTGCCCGTGAAGGATGTATTGGCGGGAAGGGACGGGCGCGCAATTCAATAGACATTTAGAACCGGCGTCAAGATGTTGCTCGTTTGTGAGGCTCGGTGCCGTGCAACCAGACGTGGCTGTGCTCGTGTCCTGAAGATGCTTCGCCGATAGCATGTGCCAGGAGTTTGACAATGCAATGCTTTTCATTGAACTTGACTGTTCATGTCGCGGAGTTGTCATACGGCGAATGTGGCGGTAAAAAGGAAAATTGCACGACTTATGCTTTGAGATCGCGGTGTAGTTTTTATTGGCTTTGTCTGGAGTTTCCATTTTACCGTTCCCAGCTGGTATGATGAACTGAGCATAAAGGACAGTGTTCACTTGCAATATGACAATAATAAACCTGTCAATGTTTTCGTTCTTCTGTAAATAATGCTGTGTAAACACACTATGATGCACGTGGATGGATTGCGCCTGGTAGCGCTTCGTTCCTGAGCTGAGGATGGACGATTGAGCTCCCGCGCCCGGGTGCTACCCCGCTGGCTGGAGCTCCAGGTGACGCCGACGCAGCGCAGCCACCTTCGGCGCCGCAGTCCTGATCACTGCGGGCAGGCGAGGCCAGGGGCGCCGACTGAGCAGCGCCCTAGTCCCGCAGCGGGGCCAAAGGCGGGCACGCTCATACAGGTGCTTGACCCCGCCTCTCGGCTTTGCCGATTCGCCAACGTTGCTGGGTGACAGATCGACGGGCGAATGTTAGCAGGTTGGACCGCGAGCGCCCCAGTCGCACAGGCCTGACTGCGAGCGCCCCATGCGCACAGGCCGGACTACGAGCGCCCCAGTCGCACAGGCCGGACTGCGAGCGCCCCAGTCGCACAAGCCTGACTGCGAGCGCCCCAGTCGCACAGGCCGGACTACGAGCGCCCCAGTCGCACAAGCCCGACTGCGAGCGCCCCAGTCGCACAGGCCGGACTGCGGTCGCCCCAGTCGCACAAGCCTGACTGCGAGCGCCCCAGTCGCACAGGCCGGACTGCGGTCGCCCCAGTCGCACAAGCCTGACTGCGAGCGCCCCAGTCGCACAGGCCGGACTGCGAGCGCCCCAGTCGCACAGGCCGGACTGCGAGCGCCCCAGTCGCACAGGCCGGACTGCGAGCGCCCCAGTCGCGCAGGCCGGACTGCGAGCGCCCCAGTCGCGCAGGCCGGACTGCGAGCGCCCCAGTCGCACAGGCCGTACTGCGAGCGCCCCGGTCGCGCAGGCCGGACTGCGAGCGCCCCAGTCGCGCAACTGCGAGCGCCCCAGTCGCACAGGCCGGACTGCGAGCGCCCCAGTCGCACAGGCCGGACTGCGAGCGCCCCAGTCGCACAGGCCTGACTGCGAGCCCCAGTCGCACAGGCCGGGCTGCGAGCGCCCCAGTCGCACAGGCCGGACTGCGGTCGCCCCAGTCGCACAGGCCGGACTGCGAGCGCCCCAGTCGCACAGGCCGGACTGCGAGCGCCCCAGTCGCTAACTACCGTGGGGACAGTTGGATGGTGTCCACCCTAGTGATACATCTCAGGTGATGGGCGCCAGTACTGCCCAATACAGGCGCCGTGCCAGCCAGTCGGTATTCATCTTACATTATGTAACCCTGCGATCTGGTTGGCGTCGCAGAGACTTTAGCAATGATGCACACCCCAGAAACTATTTCTGCGGAATCCAGCTTAGGTGGCTTCTTGCCGCGGCCTTTTTCGGTCACTGGCGCTGTGGAACCTGGAGGACCCACCACGCCCCTTGTGCCCCGTGCCTCGGGGAGCTTCGGCGCGCTCTGTGGCAGACTGCCGCCTGGTGCTTCAGTCTCGGGCTGACTGGTGTCCTGTGGTACATCACAGGCCCTCGCCTTGCCGCACCCCGGTGTCTCGTGCCGTGCCGGTCTGTGTGGTCGTGGCTCATCATGCCACACTTCACCGGGGGTTATGTCCTAATCCAATACAGACCCTCATCCTGCACCTCACATGCCCGCCATCCCATGCCATCTCGTCGGACCTCGTCCCAGTTCCGCGCACACCGCTCAGGGTCGGACCTTGCCCACCCTACTGACGGCCGGTACGGCACCCCGGTGGGCGGTGCGGTACCCCGGAGGGCGGTGCGGTACCCCGGCGGGCGGTGCGGTACGCCGGTGGGCGGTCCCCGGTGGGCGGTGCGGTACCCCGGTGGGCGGTGCGGTACCCCGGCGGGCGGTGCGGTACCCCGGTGGGCGGTGCGGTACCCCGGCGGGCGGTGCGGTACCCCGTGGGCGGTGCGGTACCCCGGTGGGCGGTGCGGTACCCCGGTGGGCGGTGCGGTACTCTGGCGGGCGGTGCGGTACGCTGGGACGACTCGGCCGGGTCTGACGTTGATCAGCTCCGCTCCTGCGGCGGCGGCGGCCGTCGATATTCTGGGATGGCGCCGACGGCATCGACACCCCGGTTCAAGGGACGCTGGAGCTGACGTCATCACGCCATCGACCTCGCCGCCCGCCGCCCGGTAAGATGACGTCATGTCTGACGTCGGCGCCGCCGGCGGCAAAATTAGGTCCGCCTCGCGCGAAAGGATAGGCGGCTTACGACCCGGCGCGGCGCGGGACCAAAATAATTGCCGAGCGCGGCGGCCCTGAAATAGGACGACTTCAAAGTCGCGGAATGAACGGATTTGAGACGCTTAGCGTGTGTCACTTGTCACTGAAAATGTTGGGACTGCTGAGCTCCTGGTCTGCAACTGCCTTGGCAGTGAGTGCCGCCACGTCTGTGATTGAGCAACCGGTACGAATCGGGGCTGGGGAAAGTAGGACGGTTAGCCCAACCTGAAAATCCTAGTTTTGTATGGAAACACGTAAAATCTGCCCCGTGCGGGTGAGAATCGGTAGCACCAAATCCTATTTGGGGTAGATTGGGAGCATGTCTACCCTGGTTCTCAACAGGCAACATCCATGGGCTGGGCTCCAAATGTCAATGATAACTTTTACAGGTAGGAGACTGAATGAAAGAACAATATTTTCCCCACACGGTGATAAGATGCACCTTTTTTGCGCTCAGCCACTTCAGAAGCTTGAGCTCAGAAAGTAAGTGTGGTCTCGTTCCTTTTGTGGAAGGCTAGGCGTGCGGAAAGGTCCAAAAGCTTTTGCACCCCGTGAGTTTTAACCTGTTCATAGGTCGCGGAAATTTACATGCAATAGCGTTTTGTGGGAATCGCCTCGGAGTTCACCAGATCAGAGAGCATGCCCGAACGTCAAGTGTGCCTTGCGGGCGACGCAGCTGCAAGTATGGCCGAATGTTGTTGCCCCATGAGCTGGTCGTAGGCCAAGTCAAATATCCCATGCCTGACCATGACAGTTTCCACAGTTTTGGACGCACTTATTGTCGGAGATTGCTGACACCCCGAATGTGATGCTGACGATGAGAAAGCCGCGGAGCATGTTTTGGACCCCGAAAGCGATGAGTTTTGTTCGTGCTCACGTTCGTAACCTATTTGCCCGTGTTCGCACTAATTCTGCGCCCCGGATCGCGAGCTATGATATGCCAGGAATGAAAACAGATCCCTGGCAGGACTCGGGGGGGGGGGGATGCTGCAGTAATGAGGGTTGCGGGGGGGGTCCTGGACGGTTTGGAGCTCGGCAACAGCAAGAGATCCGTCAGTGGGTCCCAGCATTACGGTGATGTGTTTGAGGAAGGCTCTGTTGATTTTAGAATCCCAAACTTTCGAGAGAGAGAGAGAGAGAGAGAGAGAGAGAGAGAGAGAGAGAGAGAGAGAGAGAGAGAGAGAGAGAGAGAGAGAGAGAGAGAGAGAGAGAGAGAGAGAGAGAGAGAGAGAGAGAGAGAGAGAGAGAGAGAGAGAGAGAGAGAGAGAGAGAGAGAGAGAGAGAGAGAGAGAGAGAGAGAGAGAGAGAGAGAGAGAGAGAGAGAGAGAGAGAGAGAGAGAGAGAGAGAGAGAGAGAGAGAGAGAGAGAGAGAGAGAGAGAGAGAGAGAGAGAGAGAGAGAGAGAGAGAGAGAGAGAGAGAGAGAGAGAGAGAGAGAGAGAGAGAGAGAGAGAGAGAGAGAGAGAGAGAGAGAGAGAGAGAGAGAGAGAGAGAGAGAGAGAGAGAGAGAGAGAGAGAGAGAGAGAGAGAGAGAGAGAGAGAGAGAGAGAGAGAGAGAGAGAGAGAGAGAGAGAGAGAGAGAGAGAGAGAGAGAGAGAGAGAGAGAGAGAGAGAGAGAGAGAGAGAGAGAGAGAGAGAGAGAGAGAGAGAGAGAGAGAGAGAGAGAGAGAGAGAGAGAGAGAGAGAGAGAGAGAGAGAGAGAGAGAGAGAGAGAGAGAGAGAGAGAGAGAGAGAGAGAGAGAGAGAGAGAGAGAGAGAGAGAGAGAGAGAGAGAGAGAGAGAGAGAGAGAGAGAGAGAGAGAGAGAGGAGAGAGAGAGAGGAGAGAGAGAGAGAGAGAGAGAGAGAGAGAGAGAGAGAGAGAGAGAGAGAGAGAGAGAGGAGAGAGAGAGAGAGAGAGAGAGAGAGAGAGAGAGGGGGGGGGTATTACTAGTACGTCTAGAAAGAGGCTGTGTTTGACCGAGGCTAGGCGCGGCAAGAGCTGAGAGAAAGTTGTGATATATATATATATATATATATATATATATATATATATATATATATATATATATATATATATATATATATAGTATATATATTAAAGGTATGTAGTACATTGAACACAAATTTATGCGTACATTGTGCTGTACTTAAAATATCATTTTTACAAGCGCAAGTTAAAATTCTAAAAATGAGTTAGGCCCATTCTATTAACCAAACATTGTTGAAAAGTACCGCACACTTAGAATGATGTTTTTCGCGCCACCATTGCAGTCTGAGAGCGAGAGATACAGGCCTCCGTCCCCGCACCCAGCGGCTGGAGGTGTCATTCACAAGACACTAGCATGTGTGGTGTGGGGTCGGGGAAGTGCGTTCACGTTCGGTGACCTGTCGTATAGATATTTTGCTAAACAGATGAACACTGGCTATAAAAATGGCAAGTTCCAATCGTTCAAATATTTATGGCACATATAAATGTGTTTTAAAAATGCATATGCATACCACAGCCATGTCAGCATTGGCATTTGAGGTGGAGTACCTGTATATACAGCGTCCTTAATGTTCTGCGGTACGGTAGGAGGCCCATGCCAGCATAGAGATACGTCCCTTTCGCGAGCGAGAGGATGCCTCGGCAATAGATGGAACTGACAGGTGAAGGGCTTTAATGTGTTACGAAGGGGCTGTACATTGCGGGAGATCGCGGAGATGGCAGCTGCCCGCCAACGAAAGAAAGTTTTACGTGCCGGAGGGTATTGTATATCACGCGGATAGAAATACTGACAGCCGGATTTCGTTCCGCCCCAATTCTGACCAGATTCTGACGTCACTGACGGCATGAGGATCTGGTCAT